GCCCACCATTTCCTAGAAGTTTTTGTTCTTTCCATCCACACTTGTTACATGATTTGTTTCCCATTTGGACCACTATTACCTAAGTGACTATACTTGTAACCTTATTGGTTGATCATGGTTATGGCTCATGTTGTATCCACATGGGTTTTACTCCATACAACTCCCCTGTAGAACAGGGTCCCCGGTTACCCATTCAGGACCCCTCCTGCCTCTCAGGAACTATCCTATCAATAAATATCTTCCTACTCTTAACCTCCATTGTTCCTAGAATTCATTATTTGAGTTTTAGATAATATGAGCTCGGTGTATCAGACACCTAATAGGTTGGGAGATATAATATTTCATCTCTGGTACAATTTCCTGTATCATCAACGTGGAAATGCAAAGCCAGACCTGCAAGCCCAATAGCAGTTTGAGATTATACTGTTGTAGGGACAGAGGGTCATAAACAGGAAGAAGGATAAAATATGATCTCATTAAGCTTTATTAAAGAAGTCAATAGGAAAGGAAGAAATTATTAAAGAAATTAATAGGTAAGCTGCCTTACTAAAGGCAGCTTTTTGCCTCTGCAGTTAGACTCCAGCAATTAGGAAGACAAAAGGTAAAGAGGGAGAAACCGGATGGGAAAGTCCCAGGTAGCACAATTAACATAAGAATTTTGTAGGAAGACTCCACAGGCAACACAGGGATATAGCTAGGAACATGAAAGACCAGGGTAACCAGTCCCCTCATGCACCTCTGATAAAATGCAAAGGAGGTAAGGAGCAGCCACCTAATGCTTCTTATAAAGCACAGATGTCCCCTTTACTTCATCATTAACTCTACTTTCCACCCCCCCACCCCCCCACAAAGGGACAGAAAGAAGTCAAACAGCCAGAAAGAATCAGGTTAGGGTCAAAGACAGCCAGAGAGCCAATCAGATGGCAATAACTTCTAGGTGTCCATGACGGGTAGGAGAAATCACTAGTCCTAAATAGAAGGAAACTGAGGACAAAAATCCACAGGTTTTTTGATGCCCCCTATCCTCCCAAAGTAGCTATCTTCTTTCTTTTCCATCTTTTTTCCCCAAATAAACTGTCTTCTTTTATTTTAAACTCTGCCTCTAATTCATTACTGCAGCTGAGAGATTATGATCCCAGAGGCTATGTGTTCCAGACAGGAGTAGTGCAGACATCCCACCCTGCCACAATACTGTGATTAGCACTACCTGGACCCATCCTCCCCTCCCTTCCCAGGAGAGTCTTTTTTCTTTCTACCTGAGAAGTTATAGGTAAGCCAAAGTTAATGATGCCAGTCATACCTTACTACGTGTCTTTCTTCCCTAATGGATCAATATTAGCTAAGTGACTGTACTTGTGACCCTACTGGATGATTGTAGCTTGACCCATCTTGTGATCTTGTACAGAATATCCTTGGAGGAAGAGTCTCCATGGCCACCCCCTTTCAGGATGCCTCTGGTCTCTCAGGAGCTGTCTGTCAATGAATCTTTCCTACTCTCAACCTCCTTTTTCCCTTGAAACTCATCCTTCAATATTTAGGAGACAGGAACTCAGCACAGCTGATATTTTGCAGATTGGGAGGTATTTTTCCTCTCACATTATGACTGGGGATTTAGCTCAATGGTAGTACACTTGCTTAGCATGTGCAATGCAAAAGGTTCTAGGTTCAATCCCCAGCAGTGCTGCTTGGGGGATTTATTTCCTACAAGATAGTAAAGATGAACAGAGACCAGTAAGCAGTAGGTGCCCTGACTTTCCAGATATCCATTTCTCAGAATGAGACTTTAAAATTTTTTTTCCTATTTTCTGAGACAGGGTCTTGCTATGTAGTTCAGGGTGGTCTTGAACTCACAGAGATCCTTCTGCCTCAGCCTCCTGAGGGCTAAGATGACAGGTGTGCACCACCACGTACGACTCAGCCTGAGACATTTTAAAACCTTGATACTAAGCAATTCTCATTTAAAAGTTAATCTTAAAGAAATCATCAGAAAAGCAACTATTTATGTAAGAAGATTTATTATGATGCTATTTATTATGGCATAACATTGGAAACCACATAAACCACCATCTCTATAGGAACATGGGAAGAAAACTATGGAAAGAAACTATGTCCAAACAAACAGCAAGGAAAGGAACTGCCCAATGCTTTGCCTTAGGATGAAGGGATTAACGCTAATTTTTCATCCTGCTAAGTATACTTTTCTAAATTTGCCACAATGAGCATATGTTACACTGATATTTAGAAAATATCCAAATATCAAAAGTTGGAAATTAGCTGGCATGATGGCACACGCCAATGATTCCAGCATTCTGGGTGGCTGAGATAGGAGGATCGACGGCTCTAGCCCAGTCTTGGCAACTTAGGGACCCTGTCTCAAAATTTATTTTTATAAAAAGGGGCTGAAGATGTAACTCATATGAAGGCCCTGAGTTCAACCTCTAGCACCAAAACCAAAACCAAAGAAACAAAAAACCCACAACCAAACCACCTGAGAACAAGAAACTCTATTATGATCATTTAGGCATAGCTATGAATTTTCAATCCATATTCATAACCTCTAATCCAACTATACACATTACAATTCTGGGAGTTCCCTTGCTGTCTGAGTATTGTAGATAGGTAAGTTAGGTAGATATCTTGTAGGCAGTTAGACAAGGCCGCTCTCAAGGTGCCAGCCCTCAAGGAGCCAACACAGCAAGGAGCCAACATGGAGAACAATTGAGGCACATTCACTGGTTAGCATTACAAAAAGAGGTACTACTTCCCCTAGAGATAGCAGTGATTGATAATCTAAATGGGAAATTGCTTGCATGTGACTTGTTTTCCCATCTGATCCCCATTTAATCAATATTACCTGGCTGAGGGCCGGGGATTTAGCTCAGTGAGTTCGATCCCCGGTACCAAAAAAAAAAAATTACCTGGGTGATTGTACCTGTAATCTTTTTTTTTTTTTTAATTCTTTTATTAGTACATTTTAGGTATACAACACATTTACATTTCTCATTGGGTGTACTTGTAATCTTATTGGCTGGTCATGGTTTTGTCCCACCTCATGCCCACCTTGTAATTTTCCATTGGGTCTTATAGTTTTGTCCCACTTTGTACTCGCCTCACCTCATGGCTTTGTTGTATAAAATACCTTTAAGAAGTGGTGTGGGTGGGCATCCCACTTTCTGGTCCTGTTGTTCCTAGAATTCATTCTTCGATTTTAGAGAACACGAACTCGTGTTTCGGATACCTAGTAGGTTTGGGAGTTACATCTATTCCCCCTATATCACAAGGACTTTAATAAGTTCAGTTTTCTATACTAACTTTATGGTTCTGGGACTTGATAATTAGGACACATTTAGGTATGCATGTATGGATAGCGGAAGGAGGGCCCAGGTTACAGGAGGAATTTTCTTATAACTGGAAGAAATACAGGTTATTTCTGAGGCCTAGTCTTTTAGAATTCATCCTCAAGTTTGCTGAAAGCTTCTCTGTTCTGTTCCAGGCAGGTTGTTTTCTGATAATAACTTTTGATATCCAGAGGAAGAATGTGTAAGAACTTCAGATGCCAGTTGTAAAATTCAATTACTCCTCATCAGTGATAAAATACATTTAGATGTTTTAACACAGAAGTTTGATATGAGTAAATCATCTCTTGGTTTTTCTTCCTAAGTGGCATAGTGCATATGTGACAAAAATTTACACTGACATAAACTTTAAAAAGAATCATTATGGATGGCTTGGGCACTTGTTTGAAGAAGACATTTTAGACACAAACAAATCTAGACTTCACTGCTTGGTAGCTAAGCGCCTTGATTAAATCTGTTAACATCTCTTCTCTCTACTAATGGGAATATCCCATCTCCTAATTGAGAGAGGTAATGTGTGCTAAGTGTCTAACATAGTCACAAGTACTATACTCAAAAACTAAAACGTAAGAAAAAACTAGACTTTGCCTCCCTCCACCTTTTCTTCCAGTCCTAATTATATGCTTCATATTCTAGTTCTCTATCAGGATTTCTCAACTTTATTGTCATTCTGGGCCAAAAAATCAATATCCCTGGCTTTGCCTATTAGATCTCAGTAGCATTCCCTGAGGTGTGAAAATGTCTCCACACGTTGTTAAATGTTCTCTGGGATGCAAAACTACCCCTAGTTAGAACCACTAGTCTGTATAGGTGATTAAAATGTAGGGACAACATTGAAAAGGTCAAGCCAAAATAAGCAATTTGTTTTCCCAGACTGCTCAAAGCCAAGGGCCGTGTGGGTATAATAAAAGTACCTAGCTGGGCATGGTGGTGCATGCCTGTAATCTCAGCACTTGGGAGGCTGAGGCAGGAGGATCGCTGTGAGTTCATGGCCAGCCTGGGCTACACAGTGAGTTCAAGACCAACCTGGAGTACACAGGAAGACCCTGTCTCCAAAAACAAAACAAAAAAAACAAACAAAAAAACAAAGAAAAGTTCCTAAGCTGGAAAGAGGAAACTTTGGTAATGAATTCTGAAAAATCTTTCCTCACTATGCCCGACTACCACTGACACGGGATGCAATCGTGTATGCAAATGTGAATCAGGAAGTATATGATTTACACAAAACAGTGACCAAAATTAATTAGACCAAAGAAAGAAAAATAGCACTTACTTGTGTTCAGTAGGGAACAACCACTGCTAAAGTTCATACATTAATTCAGTGTGAAAAATAAGCAGAGCTCCTAAATTAAATGATATCCACTTGAGAAATTTTTTAAAATTCAGGGTATTTTTTATATTAAAAGTAGGAATTTACAAAATAATTTACCAAAGAAAATTTATAAATGGCCACAAGTATCACAAACTTCCTAGATGAACTTACCAAGTAATTTCTGAAAAATCAAAGATTAGGCATAAATCAGAAGTCCTGGAAAAGAATGACTAAAACCTACAAAATAAAGTCACAGGAAAAGTCTTACTATATGAAAGAATGATTGATGGCTTTCTCTTTGGAAATGAGTAAAACATCGTATGGCAGCTTACCTGTAGTTTCTGAGTCAAGGAGTCTCTCTGTTCTTGTAGTTCTCTGGCATTATCAATTTCTTGTTTTAGTCTTTCTATTTCCTAGAAATGGGAGAGTAAGGTCTTTAACAACATTTAAACTACATCAAAGAAAGGGAAGACCTTATTTTCCCCTGAAATGATTGTCCCACTTTTTAGGAATCAGTAATTTAATATACTTTCCTTTATATTGACCTTCAGAGGGATGTGTTCATCTTTTTTTTTTTTTTTTTTGGTACGGGAGATCGAACTCAGGACCTTGTGCTTGTGAAGCAGGCATGGTGCCACTGGGCTAAATCCCTGGCCCAGGATGTGTTCATCTTTATAGGTGTGCTGTCTAGAACAGAATTATCTTCAGCAACAAATCTAACTTGATATAGCACTGCTTAGAAACACAACCTGTTCATTTTAAAGGCTGCTTCAAGCTTGAGATCAAATTCTTTCCTAGGACATGAAAGTTGTTGACTGGAAACCAGAGACAGTTACAACCGGTGAAGCCGTTTTAATCTCTCATGGCTTCCTGTTGACTTTATAAACACACTCCTTATACAAAAGGGACCAGGTACTCTCTTAGTCTAACTGCCCGATCAGTTCAACACAGTTCATAGTAACAGAAAAGAGAATGGGGAAGATAGGAACAAGCTCCATGCCACTCAAGAAAAATTTCATCTTAAAAAATGCATACAATCTTAACTTTTATTCCATGAATTTGACAAACTAGTATTTGGAACATATGTTAGCCTCATATAGATAGGTAGAAAGTGGCAAATACCTCTTCTTTGACTTTCAGTGTCTCTTCCAGTTCTTGTATCGTCTGATTTAATTCTGTCTTGTGGGTATGCACTGCATTTGCTTGGCTGCTTACACATTCAAGCTCTGTCACCTAAAATTCAATGAGACCATAGGTGAAATTAAATGACAATTTAAAAAAGGTTCTTGCTGAAGACATAGTAAGCCCCTGATGTGTGAATAATGAATTCTGGGTCAATATATGAAAATTAATTTTAGAAACTAATAACACAATCAGCATAAAATAAATAGATTCTTTAATGATACACATTTAAGACAAGGTAGAAAGAACAAAGAAAATATTTATATACTTGGTCATGGACAGGTTAGGAATAGTACCTAAGTGATTTCTTTCTTTTTTTTTTTTTGGTACCAGGGATCGAACTCAGGTCCTTGCGCTTGTGGAGCAGGTGGTGGAACCACTGAGCTAAATCCCCGGCCCCCTTAAGTGATTTCATGATAGCAGAGAACTCCTACAATTAAAGTTTGCTTTAAAAACTTCTTCTGAACACATACTTAAGATCAGATATGGCCATCTGTCTTTCATCTATATAGCCTTCAAATTAAATATGGGCTGTGAAAACTGGCCTTGCAGAAGTGAAAAGTTTTTCAAGTACATTTCTAAAATGAAATGGAATTTAGAAGAAAATATATGCTTAAAATACAACTTACATTATTCAATATTAGAATGACTTCACATTCATAGTGCTTCTTATAAGATAAGCTTTCTTTAGTCAGTAAGAATTTACTGACAGCCCAAAGAGCTAAATTCCTTTTCTTTTTTCTTCCCTGTCCCCCACATCCCCTTTCCCACATTAATACATGCAGTGGGATTCTTTCTTTCTTTTTTTGGTACCAGGCATTGAACTCAGGACCTTGTGCTTGCGAGGCAGGTGGTGGAACCACTAAGCTAAATCCCCAGCCCTCTTTTTTGGTTTTTGAAGAAAGGTTTTGCTATGTTCAGACTGGCCTTGAACTCTATGTAGCCTAGGGTGGCCTCGAACTTGCGGTGATCCTCCTGCCTCAGCCTCCTGAGTGCTAGGATTACAGGGCTACGCCACCACACCTCATTCAAGTGTAGTTTTGATTTACGCTTCCCCAACTGGCCCGAACTATTCATGCACATTTTCTGGCCAAAATATATACTTCGAGCTAAAAGCAGGCTAGTCTCCTTGTTCTGAGAACAAGCCGTGTTCACATCCACCTTCTTGACTTCACTGGACTGTCCTCTCTCTGATGATAGAAAATCATTCTGACCCTACCAAGCCATCAGCTCTCAGCTCACACACTTTCTCCAGATGGCCAACCCTACTTGCACAAGCCGGCAGAGCTCTCCTGTTCTCCTGTTCACAAAACAGGATCAGTTAAAAAATCTTGGGAACTAGCTCCTTATTGTTGAATACATGTACAGTTTTCTTCGTCTGATTAGACCATACAGTTTCTAAGGGTAGTTCCAGTTCTGATAATGATGATTATTAGACTATTTTTTCCATAGATAACAATCGCAAACTGTGGACAAAATACAAAAATCAATCTTTTGAAGGCCCCGATGAGTAACCAAATTGGCAAAAGACTGAAAGATAGCAGTCACTTTGGATAAAATACATATTGACACATCTTTTCGCCTGCAGGCAGGCACTTGCCATCCCACTAAACAGCTTGGATGAACTTAAAGGCGAAAACTACAGTCTCATTTCCCTGAGGAGCCTGAGCATTATGGGATTCCTTAGAATAGATGGACCAGCCAGAAGTTAGGGGGTTAAAGGAAGGAGCCCCCAAATAAACACACAGGCTTTCCTCAACCTTCAGCCAACCCCAGTTTAACAGGCGCAGGTGAGACCCCAGGGGCCCATGAGCATGAGTACCAAGCTCTGACGGCTGAAAGAACCAAGCTCTGGCAGTGCTTCCTCCAGAGTAGAGTTTACAGCCCTGTACTGCCACACTGACCCCAGCTTTTTGGTGCTATCTCAGAACAGCTGTGTCCTCAAGGTTTCCTAGGACTAAGTGATTTACCTTAAAATTAAGGAAAAATTGAAATAAATCAACCCTAACAATGTATAGGTCCACAATTCTACAAAATCAAGCTAACTCACAAGTAATTTAACTGCCCGCTGATAAAAAAAACTACATTCTTCAAAGGAAGATAGAAAAACTATGGTCTCTTCAAAACTTCATTTCGGATGAGATCGGGCATGTTCGGGGTACAAAACTTCATTTCAATGTCCAATATACAGTTAAAATGACTATATTGTTAAAAAAAAAATCGGGAAATGAACCTGTAGTTAAAGAGACAGATCTGTCTGAACAAAAGGTGAGATAATTTATTGCCAGTATACTTACAAAAAAAAGAAACACTAAAGAAGTCATTTGGGCTGTAGGGAAATGACACCTGATAGAAATTCAGATCTATGGAAAGCAAGAACACTGGAAATTATAAATTTGTGGGCCGGGGATTTAGCTCAGTGATTCCACCGCCTGCCTCGCAAGCACAAGGTCCCCACAAGTTCGATCCCCGCACACACACACAAAAATTATAAATTTGTGAGCAGTCATTTCTTTCTTTCCTTAAATTCTTTAATAGTCAAATGACTGATCAAAACTTCTTTAATGGCAGGGATGACACAATAAGGAGACATGATAGTTCCTAAGTGAATACTTATTGCCTATAATTTAATTGTTAAAAGTTACTTTTTATGATAAAAACATAACAAAATTTATCATCTCCATCATTTTAAAAAAAGTGTATATAGTTCAGTAGTGTCTTAAGTATATTCTGTTGTGAGACAGATCTCCAGATGTTTTTCATCTTGCTAATCTAAAAGTATATGTTCATTAAACAACTCCCCTTCCCACTTCCCTCATAAGTTAATTTTTACACATTAGATAGACATGTTCTCAGGTTTCTAACTCCCTCCCTGTTTCTATCTCATTCCTACTCACTTCCTTGTCATCCTGGTCCTATCATGACCCTCACATTATGCTATTGGTAAGCTCATTCTCTATTGTCTATGGAGTTTGCTTACTTGACATCCTTTTTGAAAAGGGAAATTAACTCCCATCTGCTTCCTGTAGGGTGAGTGCATTTCTATACTTTCAATAAAAAAATTAGTAATTGTTTGGGTTTCTGCTATTAATAGAATTAGGATTTGTGATTTTCTTTTTCTGTCTGATAGTTTTCTATCTATATTTTTCAAATTGTTCCCTCTTTAAAATACAACAATAGGGCCAGGGATTTAGCTCAATGGTACCACACCTGCCTTGCAAGCGCAAGGTCTGAGTTAAACCCCCAGTACCACCACCAAAAAACCCCCCAAAACAACAACGACAACAACAAAAAATAAAACAATGGAGAATTGTACAAGGTATACATTATCCCTTTTTTATACATGAAAATACTGAGCTGAAAGAAACAATATTCAAAGGTCAATTAGCTCATTTGATTTCAAAAGCTGTATGATCTTCATTTTCACTAAACTATGGAAAATATTTTCCTTAACCAAACAAACCAACGTAATACAACTCAAACATACACTGTAACAATCAGTGAACATCCCCAGAAGATGTGTCGGTGCTCAATCTACATGCAAATTTCCTCTGATGGAGGAAACCTGTTATCACCGAGTCCCTAGGGACAGCAGACTGAACTCACCCGCTTGTGCAGGCGTTCTGCTTCCTCCTGATATGCAGCGAGCTGCTGTTTCCATTGTTTCACGTTGGCAGTGGACTCCAACAGGGCTGCGGTGAGTTTGGCATTGTTTCCTTTGAGGGTAGCCAGTTCAGCCTCCCAGTGTTTGCTGATTGCTGAACTAAAATAACAAGAAAATTCCATTCGTTATACTGAATATTGTTTCTGAAATGACAGCAGCACTCAGTTCTTTATCTAAGAATGTGTTCAGACAACCCCAAAGCAATAAAAACACAAAATCTTCACTCAAACATTTCCAGTTAAGAAATATAAAAAGTACCAAAGTACTAGCTAGGCTGAACATGGACTAGTTCCCAATTTCATTATAAAAATACAGGTAGTAGAGCTGGGGATTTAGCTCAGCGGCTTTGCCGCCTGCTGCGCAAGCACAAGGACCCGAGTTCGATCCCTGGTACCAAAAAAAAAAAAAAAAATACAGGTAGTATCTACCAATTCCTTTCTCCCTCCTCCCCGCCCCAGACAGGATCTGACTACATTGCCCAGGATACTCTCAAACTCATAAACTCAGGTCTCCTCCTGCCTCAGCCTCCTGAGTAGTTGCAATTATAGGTACATGCCACCAAACCCCACACTATGCATTCTCTTTTAAGAAATAAACATTGTGTAAAAAAAAAAATCTAAAACAACATCTAACAATGTACTTTTTTTTTCTGGTACTGGGGATTGAACTCAGGACTTTGCACTTGAGAGGCAGGCGGCAGAACCACTGAGCTAAAGTCCCTGGCCTGGTATTCTTTCTAAAAAGTACATTGTAGGGGCAGGGGATTTAGCTCAGTGGCACCACACTTGCTTTGGAAGCTCAAGGTCCTGAGTTCGATCCCCAGTACCAAAAAAAAAAGGTACATTGTTAGCTGGGGATTTAGCTCACTGGTGCTGCACCTGTCTCTCAAGTTCAAAGTCCTGAGTTCGATCCCCGGAACCAAAAAATAAAAAGAATACCAAGTGGATGCTTAAGTGTCAATAAGGCTTGGGGCATCACTTTTGAAATTCTATAGCATTACTTCTGAAATTCTCATTGATTTATAGCACAATGTTCAGGATTTTTAAATGTCAAAAACATACAGATTTGGGCTGGGGATTTAGCTCAGTAGTTCTTCCGCCTGCCTTGCAAGCTCAAGGTCCCAAGTTCGATCCCCGGTACCAAAAACAAAACAAAAAACATACAAATTTATTACAAAATATTTGATTTTATATGATAGGCTCAACCTGGACTAGCCTAGTGACTTAACTTCTGATATAATTCCAATGTCACATATAGAAGACTTCCTCTCATCATTTAATATTCTACTTGATAAGTTATCTAATTTAAGTTTCTCAACCAAGATGATTTTCTATACAAAGACAATTCTATTACTTGGGAAGACTGTTCTCATGATAATTCCTTTCTTAACTTTCCAATGAAAAAAGAACTGCCTCATTTGAAAAGTTTCTCTTTCTCATTATTGAAAAGTTTATTTCTATTAGTGAAATTCTACTAACCTTATCCCATTAGCTAACTAGTGATGCTTATAGCTTTTTAAAAATCACTGTTATGTTTGGTAAGTTATTTTAATTTTTTTTTTTTTTTGGTACCGGGGATTGAACTTGGGACCTTGCGCTTGCGAGGCAGGCGGTAGAACCTCTGAGCTAAATCCCTGGCCCTCGAATGATTTGATAGGCTAATATTTTACAGTAATTTTAATATACATTTATTATATAAAAGAAAGCAGTTTCCATCGGTATTTCCATTTCTAAAGCTCAATCCCCAACCCTTTCTAAAATTGTTAAAAATTTTGATACAGGGTCTTGCTAAGTTGCCCAGGCAGGGCTGGGACTTGTGATCTTCCTGCCTCAGCTTCCCAGAGTGTTGAGATATGTGCACCACCATGACTGGCTCCTGTGGTATCCTTGAAAAATGCGTTATTTCAGCCAAAGAATGAAAAAAAATCACATACACCCAAACTTAGGGACACTATGAAATAACTGAGTAAAATTGTTTTAAAAAAAGAAGACTAAGGGACAGAAGGAGGAAACAAGAAGAAATAACAATCAAATGCAATGTGGGATTCTTGGCAGGTTCCTGAAACAAAGAAGGGTACTGATGAAAACTCAAGTTAGCCAGTCTGGCGGCATCAATGTGAACTTCCTAAGTCTGATAATCACACCATGGCCATGTAAGATGCGAACATTAGGGGAAGATAGGTGAAGGGCACATGGAACTCTGTGAAATTTCTGTAACTTTTTTGAAAGTCTAAAATTAGTTTAAAAATGAAAAGGTGAAATGTTCCTAAAGTTTATGAAGTGAGAAAATCTCATCAAAACATGAAAGGAAAGGGGCAACCCACTTTCTGGTCCCCCTTCTGTCTCTCACAGGCAGAATCTTTCTTTCTCCCAATAAATTTTTCCTACTCTTAACCTCTGATGTTCCTAGAATTCATTCTTCAATTTTAGAGAACACGAACTCGCATTTTGGATATCTAGCAAGTTTGGGAGTTACATCTATTTTCCCTATATCATTTTGGAGGTCTTCCACCGAGATTACTGGATGGAGGTAAGAGTTTTCTTCCATAGGTTTTAACTTCAGTCTTTTTGATTCATAGACTGTTACTTTTCACGTCATAGGCTCTTGCTGTTTGTTTCATAGATTCTGGTTTTTGTTTCATAAATTCTGGCCTTTGTTTCAGAAGTGTCTTAATTTTAAGTTGTGTTTTAAATGTTTGCAAATTTCTTGTTTTTCTTATGCATTGTCTTTTGTTAAAATTACGTTTTATTCTTGTTTTGTATGTGTTGCATTTGGACTTAGTTGCTTAAAAATGTTGTACAATCGGTCTCTTACGAAACTGTCTCAGACAAAGACAGTTCAGGCTTTTTATCTGTCCTTTATAGAATGCCAAACAGTGGTTACTCTGTCAGCTAGTAAGTGCTTTTAGGGCAGCTGCCACTTTCAAAGCAGAGGGTAGGTTTCTCCAGTTGCCCCACTCCCATTGACACCAATGGCGGGTAGAATGTTGACCAGAGAGGCAACTGGGTTCCTTTTGGAGACAGATCTCTGATTGCGTGGAACTAGTGGAAACTAAGGTGACAACTGAGGGGTCAAGGCCAGGGCTATTCTCTGGCGGATACCCAAAGGTCCCTCAGAACAAACTAGCTCCTGAGAGCCCATGTGGGTAATCAGCAGAAAATCTCCACATCTTGTCCCTATCTGGACTCCTCAGTGAGGTGAAAGGGAAACTACCTGAACCTTCTCTCCCCTCCTAGGCATGGTCTTCATCATTTATGTGTGTAGGGGAAAAATGCCTTTTCCGATAGATTATGGACTTTGGAATGCTGACTGTGGACTTATAAAATGCTATATGAGGATTTTTGGATGTTTAACCAGCTTGAGCTTTATTTGGGCCTTTTCTCTCTGCCAGTGAGTTAAAAACTCCCCTTAAACTTTTCTCCCAACTTGTTGGGAGTTCATTTGAGAATCCCTTGTAGTCAGACCACTCCTCCATCCAGAAAGTTAGATTAAGACAAATTTGCAACAACTGTTTTGTCTTACACTAGGGAAAATAACAATCAGTAACTTGCATTTGTGACAGATTAAATGAGACCGAAAAAAAGTTTTCAGATGACCCTGATTTGTACATTGAAGTCTTTAGAGGACTTACTCAGACCTATGGACTAGATTAGAAAGATGTAATGTTACTCTTAAATCAAACATTGATTTCTAATGAGAGACAAGTAAAATTACAAGCTGCTACTACATATAGAGACAAATATTATCTTAATTTTGGAAGCTCAGAAGACAGGCAACCAGGGGAACAACTGGTTCCTACTGGAACACAAGCAGTTCCTATACAAGGCTCCCACTGCCCTGCCAATCAGATAGGAGGTTAAATAGAAGACATTTTCAGGCATGTATTCTTGAAGGTCTAAGAAACATGAGAATTAAGCCCTTCAGTTAATTTAAATTGTCAACAATTTATCAGGAAAAAAGATGAGGACATCCCCAAATCCTGATTTGATAAAAGAAAATACTACAGTTTTTCCCAAGTGACAGTCTTACAGTATGTGGATAGTATAGTGTTATGTGTCCCCTCAGCTTTCTAGCCAAAACACCTGTACTCTACTATTTTCTAACAGACTGGGGTAATAATGTTTTGAGATATAAGGCACAGCTTTGCAGCCTTGAGGTAAAATATTTAGGCCTTATTACATCTAAGGGAACTCAAAGACTAGGGGAAGAAAGAATTAAACCAATTCTTTCCTTTCCACAGCCAAAGACTCTAAAACTGCTAAGGAGATTCCTAGAGATTATAGGCTTTTGTCGCCTTTAGATAGCAGGATATAATGAGATTGCATGGCCCTTCTATCAGCTTATAGAGAAACCCAAAAGACAGATACCTATATTTTAACCTGGGAACCTGGTTCCCAGACCACATTCCAGAAGCTCAAAGAAGCACTTCTAAGTGCCTGCCACAGGACACCGTTTCAGTTTGTATGTTAATAAAAGGTGAGACATGGCTTTGGGAATGTTTCTACAACATCAGGGTGCTGCTCAGCAGCCTGTAGGGTATTTCAATCATAAACTAGATATTATAGATTCAGAGTAATTCATTAAAAGGGTAAGCCCTAAATAATATAGTTAAAACACTTTTATTCTCTTTATAGAGGCAAAAAGTAGCCATTCGGGTTCTTTGATTATTGGTTTGTTTTTTCTGCTTGGCAATTCAGTTGGAGTCAATCACAGCTTTTATCTCTAGAGGCATGTTTTGCTAAGGATTGCAGATCCACTCTGGAAAAGCTCCTGATCTTAACTGTCCTTCTACACCTGAGATGGTTATTATTTAGTTCTTGTGCCATACTTAAAGGCACTCTTCTATCCCTTCTCCACTGTCCTGCCCCTGAGAAATAATGCAGTTTGATCCAAGGCACTTCCCTCTTCTGTGGCTGCTGGATTTCAAGACAAAGCTTCCAGAATGGTGAGTTTCCCCTCCCTGGAATCCTTCCAGAGTAAAGCTGACCTTCATTTATCTCTGGGCCATACAGAAAACTGCTCTGGGTTTAATTTTGAAACTCTCAAGAAATAAATGTAAAAGTTTTAGTCCAGATTTATCTGTCTTTCAGCCCTCAGGC